ACCATATCTTATGGGGCTGAAGAGATGGCTCAGAGGTTAAGATTGCTTGCTGCTCTTCTAGAGGACCAGGATTATATTCCCAGCATACATGTCAGACAGTTCACAACTAACTGTAACTCCAGCTCCGGGAGATCCTACGCCCTCTCCTGGCCTTCTTGGGTACTTGCATTCCGGGCACATACCCACACACAGACACATACAATAAATACTTAAAAAAAATACCATATCCTAAGCCTTGCTTTAGCCTGTGCCTACACTAATAAAGTCTCAGGCATCGATGTCTCCATCCACCATATGGTATCTGGCTTCAAGAGAAACTGAGTTTTTCCACAACTCTTACAAGGTGGAAATGAGATGTCTGATTTGAGAACAAAAGGAAAGAACCATGGGACATTAGAGGCAGAAGGAACTTGGACGTCTCCTAGCCTCTCGGGCAGGTTTCTGAGACCCTACCGGTAGCCCTCCCTCATAGCCGCCAAATCCAGCTGACAGGGAGAGGCCCTGGGCTTTCCGACTTGCTCTCACAGCTTCCCACTGCATGGCTAGGGAGGTGCCCAGCCAACAGAATGACCCTGGGGACATGAATTTGTATATGAATGATGAGGAACAGCACAAGAACTTTCCATCTTTCATAGTGCAAGTCCAATATCAGATACGTTCAACGTGAAACTACTGTGAGGGAAGCCTACCCGAAACCAGCACACAGTCACTCTTAGAGATGAAAATTAAGTCTTTATTGCCAGTCGGAGGCTGACAGGAAACTTGCCCAAATCATGCAGCCCTGAGCCTTACAGCCCTTTGTCTTTTATACATAAAAACCATATGAGTTGTCACACTTCAGTTAGCAAGCAGCAGAACTACAGAAGCCCAAAAGCAAGGTTAGTCATTTAAGGACTGTCCTGGACCATGGACTAGGTCTTTGGTGGAGTTGGTCTTTGTTCCCACTCCGGCAGGTGCTGGAACCCATATGCTGGGTTTTAAGCTCAGAATTGGGCTTCTAACATGGTGTCAGTCGTGCTAAGGTCAGGGGGTCTGTTAAAAAGCAAAGCACTTGGAACGAAGTAGAACATTGAGTCTGCATATCTCAAGGCTCGAGAGATCAATGGCTTAGCAGTTCAGAGCACCAGCTGCACTTCCAGGGGACCTGGGTTTGTTTCCTAGCATCCACTTGGTAACTAACAACCACCTGTAACTCCAGTTCCAGGGCATCCAGTACCCTCTTCTGAACTCCTCAAGCTCCTGGCACACATGTTGTACACATACATACATGCAAGCTAAACACTCACACATGTAAAATAAAAAATAACTGAATCATTTTTGTGAATGTTGTCCTGAAAATAAGAGGAGCTTGGAAGGCAGAACCCTGAATCCCATGGAGAGTATGTTTGACCCTACACTGTGATGACATGGTGCCATCCATGCACAGTCCCTCCATTCCTCCAACACCATCTTTGTACCCAAGCTACCTGAAAAGGGTAGGACAACAGTCCTGTGAGCACCTTGGAAAAACAAGAGAAAGACTTTTCCTGAATAAGTACTCCCTGAAACTCCGGACAGGTCTACACACTCTGGCCAAAGTGCTTCTCTAACTCTAACAGTGCACCTGGAGAAACGTCCCAGTTAAGAATGCCAAGCAGCCTGGTGAGATGGCTCAGTGGTTAAGTGTCCTGACTGTTCTTGCAGAGGACTGAGTTTGGGTCCCAGCACTCATATCAGGTGACTCATAATTCCTATAGTTCCAGTTCTAGGAGACTGGACACCCTCTGGCTTTCAAGGGCACTTGCACGCACGTGATGGACATAAACTCATGCAAACACACATATATGCACATTTTTTTTAATTTTAAAAACAAAAACAGACAAGCATGGAGGGCAGGGGCCTTTAATCCCAGCACTCAGGAGGCAGAGGCAGGTAGATCTCTGAGTTCAAGGCCAGCGGTCCACATAGTGAATTCAAGGCCAGCCTGGTCTACGTGGTGAGTGAATATCAGAAGGGCTGCAGTGATGACTGGGTGGGCAAAGTGCTCGCCATCCGGGTGTGAGGCCCTGAGTTTGAATTCCCTGAATCTTGTGAAGCTGGGTACTCTAGCACACATCTGTAACCACTAGTGAGACTGGAGGTGAAGACAGAAGACTCCTCAACAGCTCGTGGCTAGGTATCCTGACATACTCCACAGAGGTCTGAAACAGAATGGAAGACTATGGCTCACACCCAGAGCTGTCTTCTGACCTCCAAGTCTGCGCTCCGGTGAGAGAGGGAGGGAGCCAGACAGTAGCCAGGGTTTAAGGACAAACAAGGAAACAGAAGCCAGGAGGCACGGGCTGGGGTCTGCAATCCGTGATCATTGCTGGTGCTAAAAGGGGGGATTTTATCTCGCTGGCAGAGAAGGCTGATCAGAGGCAGCTGCCTTGATTGACGTTCTCCTGCTGAGTCCCTCACTGGCACCCTCCCACGCTCTGCCCTCCTGAGTGAGCCTTTATTAGAAAATGAGAGGCTAGAGGGGAAAGCGGTCCTGGGCGTTTGAAGAAGGCATGACCACCCCACGCTGCAATCTCTGGATCACGGGCTGTGTAAATTCCGACATCACTCCGAACTCCCCACACCGTGGAATGTGTAAACTCAGGCACCACACATTTTCCCAGACTCACATGAGAATTGCAGGACAGATTCAAGCAGCTATTTTTCAGGGAAGCTGCCGACTGCACTAGCCAGAAAGGCAGCCTCCTGGCTGATTAACACAACCCTGCCCCTGCTTCACCAATGGACAGAGCTCCTTGCCTATTTAGAGGAAATCCTGAACTAAAACAGAACCGAAAGCAAAACCCCCGAAGGCAAAAATCCAACCAAAATAAGGGCAAGCCAGCGAGAATGTGGCATACCTGAGGGACCAGGCAGCTGGCAAGGCTCAGGCGGCCTCCTGTGGATGAAGCTATTTTAAAGGAAGACAATGGCATTTTCGGGGGAAAGAAATTCAGAAATGAAGAAGAAAGAGAATCCAAAGGAACAGAGAATGCCCATGGCTGCCTGCCAACCAGACGCTCAGCAGGACTGACACATTCTTGCCATGGTTTTGCATTATGTTTTCCAAAGGAGGCTGGAGTAAAGAGCAGCTGGACACTTCAGCACAGAGTCCATCGCAGGCCACAGTCCAGCTGGGAGGACAGCCCCTTCCTCCACCTCACAGACAGCACATCTAGAGTGAAGGAGGGGGCGGAGGTAGCACCCCCGTGTGGGCAGGGCAAGAATGGAGCACCTCTGAGGTGGTGGACATATCGTTAACACAACACAGATACCAACAGCCCTGCTCAGCTCAGGAAGTCCAAAGGCAGGCTGCAGAGATGGCCTGGTGGGTAAGAGCACCTGCTGTGTGAACATGAGGACCTGAGTTCAGGTCCTAGCACCAACATAAAATGCTAAGTGTGACGGGCACATACCTATAACCCCAGTGCTGGGGGGGGGGGGAGGGTGGAGACAGGAGGATGGCTGGGACTTGCTGGCTACCGCATAGCTAGAGTTTTGTGGAGAGACCCTATATCAAGGAAATTAGTGGAGATTGATAGACCCGGGGTCCCCTCTGGCCTCTGTATGCACACACACATACTCACATACCATATAGACATTCACATAAAAGACGTTTAGAAAGAAAGAAATACACAGCATAAATACAAAATTAAGAACAATTAAGTGCAGAAGCAAGGAAACTGGCCGTGGGTGGAAACGTGGCTCTGAGGAGAGTGCGGGAAGCCTAGCGTGGAGTCGGAGTCAGTGATGGGGAAGGGTGGCCAGGGCAGGGGGATGTCTCAAGTGTGAGGCAGCCTGGGCTACAGAGTGAGCTCAAGCAAACCACCCAATCTTCCCTTCCTTTCTTCCTCCCCTTCCTGTCATTTCCCCGCCCCCATATCAAAAAAAAAAATTCTAACAGCTATCTACTGACAGACCTGGTTTATACAGAAAATTCTCACGACAAACCATTTGTCTCAGTTTCACACCAGATACTATTGTAGCTATCTATAAATTGGATATGCTGCATTATTTTAAGAAGTACCTGAAAAATATACTGATATCCCAAATTATAAACACAATTTTTGTAATAAGAAGACGTAAAAAAAGAAGAAGGAGGAGGAGGAGGAGGAGGAGACCACAATTCTTGGCTTACCGTACATTGTGGAAAACGTGAGGTGATTCAGATGACTGATATTATAGGCTTCAAGTCTGACATCTCTCCAGATTCCTTGGGAGGGGAAGGAAGGGCCCCAGTCCCAGCTGAAGGAACACTGCTCCTGCAAGTTCAAGGGAAGGAAAAGAAAGGCACGTTCTGGTGACTTGAAAACTTAAACATTAGAAAACTCCTTTCAAGAGGAGTGGCCAGTAAGAGCTAACTATAGGACACCCGTGTGTGAAAATGTCATGACGCGTGCTAAATGAAAAGGTTAACAAAAAAAAAAAAAAAAAACAAAGACTCTGTCTCTAAAATATTATATAATATTATATACACACTCGTTTATCAGTTTACTAATGATGCCATAGCAAAACCCCCGGGCTGGACAGGGAGGACCTCTGTGCCTCTCTCTTCTTCCATCCCTCCCATCTCCTGCTATCCAGATTCCCTTACCCTGAACACCTCGGTTCACTGAATCACCTTAATAAGAATGACTCCAAATACTTGAGTAGAGGGGGTGTTACAACTTCAACATTTAGTAAGTTTGGGGAACACAGTTCATCCCCTAACGTGTGTGTGTGTGTGTGTGTGTGTGTGTGTGTGTGTGTGTGTGTGTGTGTGTGCGCGCACCTGAGTGTGAGCACACACAGCTCACAAGTCTCTCTTCTGGTGCTTGTGCCCCGCTGTGCTCACCTCCTTGGTGCATGTGCTAGATAAAAGAGAACCACTTCCTGTGACTTGGAATATAGCAGAGGTGATGTCATTTCCAAAATTAGCCTGCGGAAGACTGGCCCTTCTGTTTTGGACCCGCTCCCATGCTCTCTTTGGGCCAAGAGGGAAGCCAGCTGCTGTGTCCTGGAGCAGCACTGTGGGAGGCCTGCACGAGAGATCCGGGAACAAGATCTGAAGCCTCTCGACAGCCACGGTAAGCTCAGAACTCTCGTCAGCCCTGTCAGGCACAAGGTGATGGCTTGATTAAAAGCCTCTGAACTATCGGTGCCCAGCCAAGCTGTATTCGGTTCCCAACCGACAGAACAAGAGTAGGTTAGGCTGAGAAATGCTGGCTTAGTTTGCTATACATTATTATTATTTGCTGTACTGATCATTATTATTATTATAACCAAAATATCAACCTAAGTGCCATAGTAAATTTATCAAGAAGAACATGAAATCTAGTTATAAATTATTTTACATTCATTCTTCAAGAGCCTATTATATCAGAGCAACATTATTTTATTTTGCTTTTCAAGTGTTACTATGGAGCCCAGGTGGGCCCTGGTCCTGTGCTCCTCCTCCCAGATGGGCCTGTAAGTGCTGGGGCTACCAGCCGTGGCCACCACCCCTGCAAATGCTTATTCTCTCTGAAGCGGTCCCAAGCACTGCTGGGCCTAACCACTGTATTCAAAATAACAATGCGAAGAATGAGCAGCCTCATTGAAATTAAAGATACTATTAACACGTTTAAGAAAAAAACAAAACAAAACTACCCTTGGCCCCTACCTCATTAAGCATGAACTCAACAGTCCTTGTTTAGGAATACCAAGGCAATCACTTCAGACTTGAGACTCTGACCCGGGTGGCTACCTGTCTGAGAGATCTAATCTTATCTGCTGGCTACCTGTCTGAGAGCCAGGACACTAAAACCTTCCAATTATCAAGTTACAAAGGTTCAGATTCAAACAGCAGCAGATGATTCTGTAAAGATAACTTCCTGGGGAGTGGAGGAAAGAGAGGATGATGGAATCCAGGGGAGAAGAAAGGAGAAGGGGAAGAGACTCCCTGGGGGCAGAGCAGGGGGCACAGCAGGTGGGGGGGCAGAAACAGGCAGGTACACCAGGTGAGCAGTGGAGGAGGGGGATCAACTGAGAACAAAGCAGAAAGCCACATGGGTCTGAATGGCCATAATGAAACCCGTACTTCATGTGCTAATCTAAAATTGAAAAAAAAGAAAGAAAAAAAGAAATCCTAACCAGCAGAAAATTTTCTTTTACTTCTTAAGAGAAAAAAATATTCTCAAAATAATAAAAATCTATGACGCTATGAGCTCAGCTTTGAAAACTAAGGCCTAAAAGAAGCAAGCACCCTGAGCTTGGGAATGAAGGTGTCTGTCCACAGAAGATCTGGCCAAACTGCTCTGGGTGAAGTTTTATTTCCTTCACTCTAGATTTAGGTCAGAGAAAGATAAGTGTGTTTCTACTATAGAAGAAAAACAAGCAATAAGTGTGGCTGTCACCAACCATCAAAGAAGCTTCTCTTTGAGACAGAGACCATTCCAGAAAACTACAACTACTAAAATTCAGAGAACAGCTGGTCGTACGGTTGCCAGTCACAGGAAATGCCCCTGTCACCCAGGAACTGCTGAGGAAGCAGGGAACAAAGAGTGTAGGGTCCAGATGATCTCCAAGTCTGCTGGGACCCTGTACCCTAGAAACCTCGACAATGACAGTATGGCTGCCTGAACAAGACCTGAACAATGAAAAAACCGATAGATGTGCCCCACCCCTAAACAAAGACCAATTGGTCACAAGTGACTGCTGAGAGAGAAAGAGAGAGAGAGAGAATTCGTCTTCCCCAGGAATAAGATCCCTAATTGGTCAAACAACAGCAAGTGGTCAGCGCTGAAATCATGCACAAGCACTGTCAAACAGAGCCAGCCGGTGGTATTTATATACTTACGCATTTATATAAACATACCGCGATAAGATCAAGGAAAAGGAGGCCATGGATTTTAGGAGGAGGAAAAGGCGAACATGGCAGGGGGTGGAGGGAGAGAACACATGAGAGGGAAATGATGTAATTATATTTTAATTAAAATAAACATATTAAGAAAAAAGGAAGCAGAACAACTAGAGTTGCTTCCTGGCATCTACATCTGTCTAAACTTACCACTTGAGAATCAGATTTTCACATTTGGAATGAAAACCATCTTGAGGATCTCTATGGAACATTTGTAAAGGCATAGATAGGTTCAGACCTTCTGCTGGCCTTGGGGAGTGTGATGGGTAATTTTCTGTCAACTTGACACAAACTAGAGTCAGTCACCCGAGAGGAGGGAGCCCCAACTGAGAAAATGCCTCAGGAAGACTGGGCTCTACAGGCAAGCCTGTAGAGCATTTTCTTAATTATTATGACTAAGAAAAGTGATTATGTGGGAGGTCCCAGTCCATTGTGGGTGAGCTCATCCCTGGGCTGGTGGTCCTCATGAGGAGCAAGGCAATAAGCAGCATCCCTCCACAGCCTCTGCATCAGCTCCTGCCTCCAGGTTCCTGCCCTGCTTCAATTCCTGCTCTCATTGGTTTTAGTGATGAACTGTTACATGGAACTGTGAGTGAAAGAAACCCTTTTTTATCCCCAAGTTGCTTTTGGTCATAGTGTTCCATCACAGCAAAAATAACCCTAACTAAGACAGGGGAGGGCGGGGAGGAGGAGAGAACCAAATATTCGACATCCCAGCAAGCTTCAAATCACGGAACTCACTCAGCCACTCCCAACAGAGTTTTCACTGACTCAGAAAGTATTTGGGGCACACTGTATCTCAGGCTGGGGTATGTTAACACACAGCGCTGTAATGGGTCCTACTCGTGACGCCCACACATCAGCAAGGGAGGTGGGTCCTGAATAAGTGGTGCCTGCGTGGTGAGTTTTCTAAAGGAAATAGGGAGCTAGAAGCCGGGAGGCAGGGTCAAGGATCTACACAATAAATAAATAAAAAAGAAAGAGAAAAAGGAAAGAAAGGAAGTTTGAAAAAAAAAAAAAAGAAAACTTTTAAGCTACAGATTTGGCTCAGTAGTGGAGTATTTGCCTAAGTTTGCACAAGACCCCGAGTTCCATCCCCAGGACAAAACAAAATAAAAACTTTTCTTCCAGGGCAGGTGTCTTTCTCCACCTTGAATTAGAGAAAGGGGCGTGGACGGGCTCTGTCAAAGGAAGTGTGTGCGCATGTCAGCGCGATGCAGTCCCAACAGGGGGCAGTGGGGTGAAGACAGCTGAGAGCTGTGCAGACATTAGCCTGCGGCTGGTGCGACGCTGTTGAAAGATGACACGATAAACAACTTAAAAATATAGAGCTAGTCTCATCAGCCCCTTCCTCCGGAGTCCTTGTTTCTGTTCTAAATGAAGGATTGCCGGGGTCATTTTGCCTGAAAAGGCCACGCCAGCCAGCTGCTCCATGGATAACTAACTAAAGAGAGGCGGATGACGTTGTGGGGATGCCAGTCCGACGACCAGGGCAGCGTGCTGCGCAAGAAACGACTGGACCCAGATTCGAAGGCTAAAGGCTGTATTGGAAAAGGGTGGGAGCTGGGATGTGGGGCTCCCTGGGGTGAACACAGTCCCTCAGTCATTCCCTCAGTCTCCCTCCGCCAGATGCCATGGGGTAAGCGGCTTTGCTCCACACCCCCGCCTACTCTCCCTCAGTGTCCTTCCTCCCCGCAGGTGCAGAGCCAGAGGGCAGAGACTGACCCCCTGAAACCAAGAACCGAAAGAAATGCTCCCTGAAATCTGTTTATCTCAATATGTTGCCATGGTGGTTAAAAATGACTGACACAATGGTAAGAGGGGAGCTGACAGGATGGCGGCCGCCATCTATGCCGGACAGAGGAGGAAGTAGAAACAAGAGAGGCTTCTGTGGACGTGTTAGAAGTAGAGGGTCAAACAGTTGGCCAAGCAGAGTAACGTTTTCCCTGCCTCTGCCTCCCGAGTGCCGGGATTAAAGGTGTGCACCACCACCGCCCAGCACGATTTCCTTCTTAAAAACCTAAATGGCTCTCAGAACTCTGGAAGCAGAAGCAGGAGGATCTCTGTGAGTTCAAAGCCAGCCTGTTCTATATAATGAGTTCTAGGCTAGCCAGGGCTATGCAGTAAGGCACTCTTTTAAAAACAAAACAAAACAAACAACAAAATCTTAATGGTACATGCAATCATAATACAATAACCACACATTTGTATAAATTCAAGTCCTGTAGAACAGACTAAATTTCAAAGAAAAAAAAATCATCTGTGGATTATACCTTTTCATTCTATTTTGTAAGATACCAGCAGTAAAATACAAGAACATCTCAGAAAATATATTTCTTTTGAGCAGGTTGCTAGTCACAAGAATCACTAATAAGTTTTCACATCTGGTAATAAGTTTCATAAACATAAATGTTAAAAAGTAATTTATAGCCAGGCAGTGGTGACGCACACCTTTAATCCCAGCACTCGGGAGGCAGAGGCTGTGAGTTCGAGGCCAGCCTGGTCTACAAAGCTAGTTCTAGGAAAGGCACAAAACTACACAGAGAAACCCTGTCTTGAAAAAACAAAAACAAAATAATAATAATAACAATAATAATAAATGAATGAATAATTTATAGAGGTGAGAATGTAGCTCAGTTGATAGAGTTAGCTCAGGGCTCTGCCTAACATGCACAGAGGGTCCCCTCCTCAGTACCTCATAAAACCAGACATGGTTGTACACACTTGTAAACTTAGCACTCAGCAGAGAGAACTGGGAGGATCAGAAGCTGGAGGTCATCCTTGGCTTCATAGCAAGTTTGAAACCTGCCGGAGCTAGATGAGTCCCTGCCCGAAATAAAACTGTAATAATTTATAAAAGTTCTATCGTAAGCCAGCCATGGTGGTTCATGCCAATAGTCCCAAGGTGTGGGAGGCTGAAGCTGGAGTATTGCCTCTTTTAGCAACATAGTAAGTTCTAGGCCAACCTAGAATGCAATATCAAGTTCAGTTATCCGGTTTGTGTGTGTGCATGTGCGTGTGTGTATACCTAAACTCTGAAACATGCTTCAGGAAGAAAACCTAGAAGAATGAAGATTCACCACAAAAATTCAGAAAATCTTCCAGTCTGACTGAGAACCTTTGAGGTGCCCCTGGGAGGAATCAAGTTAAGTAGTCACACACTGGCCGCGGAGCACAAGCACTTGAAAGAGCATTACCTTTCGGATAAAGTTGACATGACATTCACCGTTCTGCTCCTTCGGGGGGCAGTTTGGGGGCACCGAGTAGCGAGTGTGAGCTCTGCTCTGAAGCTCAGCATATTGTACGGCTGACTGGAACCGCAGCTTTAGGGAGTTCGTGTCTCTGACCATACCGGTGATGTCAAAGCTCTGAAGTAAAGAGAAAGAACACACAAATCCATGTGAAGGAAAACGTCTTGTGTATGAAAATGTAGATAAAGGCAGACTACATGAAAGACGCACGCAACAGGCAGATCTAGACTCACCTCATAAGCTTCTGCAATAGAATTTAGTGGCCTACCTTCAGTTATAACTCCAATCTCCTGTCCGAGCACAGGCTTCTAGGCTTCTCCTATTTTTAACTGACAGAATTATGATCCCAGAGAAATATGCAGAGCAGAAAGTATCTTTAGCCCTGAAATGTCTGCTCTGGCTTGTGCACGCGGCCTTGAGCTGCCAGGGATTCCTGGACACTTTATGACAACCTGACTCTCTAGGATGCATAGTATGCATTTCTAAGTCATAAGCTATTTTTGTTTTCCAAAGCACACCCTTGAAACAGAAGGAAAATAAGAAGGATACAATTTCAGAAAGAATTTCTTTCAAAATTGCCTTTCAGTGGTCATTTCCCATGAAATGCGGGACCACCAGACCACAGAGAAGTGAACAGTAAAGCGGAAGCTGTGATTTGCTTTCTCACGGCCTGCAGAACCACCATGGGTTTGCATCACCCCTATCACCCTACCAGCAGGGCACCTGACAAAGACAGGAATTTACCCAGTGTTCCAAAGGCCTTGTACTTGACCCATGGCCGATTATGTGACTAGCCTTCCCTATTCACACCAGGAACACAAAAGGCACACTCATTTGCTTTCATCTGGAATCTTCATGTACTTACATATCCACTGAACATGTTGTTTGTCTTCCCAATAATGACATTGTTGAACAGGATTTCTGCAACTGTATCAACGCCTTCAAAAATCAACTTTACTTTCTGCCATTCACTAAAAAACAATTAAAGATCTTAAAAGCATGATGTATGAAACATTAATTTAAGTCTCTTTGTAATCAGTTAATAACTAACAAACTAAATATTTTACAGGAAAATGTACACCTTTAACTGGCAACTTCCATCAAATTTAAGGTGTATGGGATGGATATATCAGTAATTTCTTTGAGCAGTCCAACTCATTTTTCTGCATGATGTGTCAAACCATTCTAATAAAAATCAAGAGCACAAATTATAATTTCAAAATGAGTTGATTTTCCCAGATACTTTAGAGTTCTTAGGTAACACAAAAAATATCTGTCAAAGCCATTGCATTTGTTTGACACGATCCAAGAGAACGTACTAACCACCACCTTTTATCAGTGAGTGAGAATTTTGTGTTCATTACTCTGCTCAGCCTTGTAAACAGACATTTCCTGTCCCAACTACCCGGTCCCAAATAACCAACTCAGAGGCTGAACATGAATTATAAATGCTCTGCCAATAGCTCAGGCTTGTTACTAACTCTTACCTTTAAATTAACCCATTTCTATTAATCTATATATTGACATGTGGCTTATGGCTTTACCTGTCCTCTAGCAACTCCTGCTTCCTTGGCAACTGGCTAGCATCTCTCCCATCATTCTCAATTTGGCTTTCCTGCCTAACTTCCTGCCCAGTTACCAGCCTGTCAGCTTTTTACTAACCAATGAGAGTAATACATATTCACAGTGTAGAAAAGGATTGTTCCACAGCACAGTCTCACAGGCACAACCTGGGAATTTGAAGAGTTCATCGTCTAGATGGCATGCAAGCCTAATACTCCGGAATCAAACAGAAACTTCTTGATCTATTAGACAAGGACTATCAGAGGTTTATTGTGTAAGGAAGAATTCAAGAAGAAAATAAGAACTCAGCCTGGCAATGGTGGTACACTCCTTTAACCCTAGCACTCAAGAAACAGAGGTAGTTGAGTTCAAGGTTAGCCTGGTCTAGAGTCAGTTCTAGGGCAGCCAGGGCTACAAAGAGAAGCCCTGTCTCAAACAAAACCAAAAAAAAAAAGAAAGAAAGAAAGAAAGAAAGAAAGAAAGAAAGAAAGAAAGAAAGAAAGAAAGAAAGAAAGAAAGAAAATAAGAACTCAGAGAAGTTAAACAGAATGTGACATACCCAAACATTGGAATACTATTCAGCAATAAAAAGGAATTAGGTGATTATGTATGCTACAACAATAATGAAGCAATTCTTACGTTTAGAAAAAGAAGCCCTTGTCTCTGAAGTGCCAGATCAGATAAGTCCACAGAGAGGGAAAGTGCGTTAGTTACTAGTGGTCTAGCCTGGGACAGTGGATGGGAACGGAAATGACAACAAATGGGTAATGGACTGTGGTTGGGTTTGTTTGTTTGTTTGTTTGGTTGGTTGGTTGGTTGGTTGGTTGGTTGTTTGGTTGGTTGGTTTTATTTTTTTAAGGGAGGTTTTTTGTTGTTGTTGTTTTGTTTTGAGACAAAGTTTCTCTTTGTAACCACTCTAGCTGTCCTGGAACTCACTTTGTAGACCAGGCTGACCTTGAACTCACAAAGATCTGCCTGCCTCTGCCTCCCAGTGCTGGGATTAAAGGCGTGTGCCACCACTGCCCAGCATGGTTATCTTAAATAGGGTTTCTATCGTTGTGGTGAAACACCATAACCAAAAGTTCCTTGAGGGGAAAAGGGTTGGTCTCAGCTTATAGTTCTCAGGTCACACTCCATCACTGAGGGAAACCAATGCAGGAACTCAAGGCAGGAACTTGGAGGCAGGAACTGAAGCAGAAGTCATGGAGGAGCGCTGCTCACTGGCTTGCTCCATCTGCTCTTTTATACAACTCATGAACACATATCCAAGGGGTTATTACCCACAGTGTGCTGAGTCCTCCCACATTAACTATTAATTAAGAAAATGCTCCCACAGGTTTGCCTACAGACCAATCTTATGGAAGGATTTTCTTCCTTCCATTGTGGTTCCCTCTTAGATAACTCCAGCTGTGTCAAGTAGAGGGGGAAAGGGACAGTGGTGGTGGTCGCAGAACTCTGTGAATTCACTAAAAACCATTGACTTGTACTTTAAGTAAATTTCATGTTATATAGATCAGAGCTCAGTAAAACTTTTCATAAAGATAAGTAGAAATGCCTAGAACCAGCCCACTGGACAAAGTCCTAAGAGCATCCGTTCCTTTAAAGAGGAAGACTTTTTATTTGGACCCACCCTGGGGCTGAGGAGCTGAGGAGAGATTGAACATGTGGTGGATCCATGGCAGAGCCAGAGGTGGCACAGGCCACCATCAACTTTCACAGGGACACAGAGAAGTTGGGGCTTTATTTATGAAGCAAAGAAACAGGCTTTCTATTCCTGAGGAAAAGCATTTGGAGAGGAATGGAACGTTTCCTCACGTGATCAGAGACTGAAAAGGCAAATGCCAGACACTGGATTCCGCAGCTTCTGGGCAAAGTGGGGAACTGGAGACTGAGGAAGGCTCCACTAAGAGAAGTGGCGGGGAAGCATTAACAAGCTTGGAAATAATGGAAAGGACGGGAGGCAGTGGAGGAAAGAATGAGGAGGCAAAACCCCATCCCTA